CAGGACAATCTGTAAATTCAAGGCCAGCCTAATCTACAGAGTGAGTTCCAGGGCAGGGTCCAAAGAAACCCTGGTTTGGAAGAAAAAAAAGAAGAAGAAAGACAGACAGACAGAAAGAGAGAGAGAGAAGTGGTGTGTACTCCTTTAATCCCAATACTCTGGAGGCAGAGTACTTTGAGACCAGCCTAGTCTATAGAACAAGTCTTGGGACAGTTAGAGCTACACAGAGGAAACCCTGACTCCAAAACAAAATGAAGGGAAGAAAAGAAAAACCAGGCATGTTGAGAAGAACATCTGTAATCCTAGTGCAAGGAAGGGAGGCAGGCAGCTTCCTGGGGGCTTGCTAGCCAGCCAGTGTAAGCTAATTACTAAGCTCCAGGCAGATGAGATACCCTGTCTCTGGAACGAAATTAAGCACCAGGGAGATGACGCAGGGGCTAAAGGTTCTTGCTGCCAAGCCTCATGACCTGAGTTTGGCCCTCTGGACCTACATGGTGGAAGGAAGAAAAATGATTCCCAAAACTGACCTCCACATAAGTGCCATGGTATATATACAAACAAAACTAATTCATTAATTAACTCAGTATTTTTTTAATCCACTCAAGGCCAGATGGGTAGCTCCTGTGCACACATTTGTACACATATGCATGTCCTCGCCTATATGTGCACATTGCACGCCCACCTGCACAGACAACGCGCCCATATTATATGTGCCTGTGTGTGTGCGCGCTCACACACACACACACACACACACACACACACACACACACACACACACTCACACACACATAAAGAACTAAAGACTCTCTGGTCCACCCATTAGCCCCCTGTTCATTTCACTCAGGCTGTTGCATTTGTGTCTGGAAGTTGCACTGCGCACTGATCTCCCCATCCCCCACGCCAGGCTTGGGCTGAGGACCCAAGGGTCAGCAGGGCTTGGTCTGCCTGAAAGGTGCATGCAGCTTAGTGCAGAGCGAGTCAAATAAGAAACCCTTCGGGAGAGGAGCCACACAAGGTGAACTCCCTAGATGAGGATGTGGTCTGTAATCTCTCTCTGTGCGTCATGGGGAAGGGTATGTTTGAACCTGTGCTGCTCCTGGGGTGGGCGGCCAGACCTGATGGAGAGCTGTCTCTGACGAACAGAGTAGAGTAAATCAATCCACCAATCTGCCTCTGAGTGGTCCAGAGTGACCACTCAGTGACACTCTGTGCAGAGAATTGATGAGAAGGGAGTTGGGGGACATACACGACCTGATCCCCTCGCTCATTTGTCAGTCCCTCCGACAGTGGGTCCTCAAGCCCATCATTGTGAACTTATCACTAAGTATTGGCAAACCATCGTATTTTGTGCCTCATTTACTTACAAAAGGAACCGGCATAAAACCACTTCATCCTGACATGCCTTCGTGTCTGTGTGCTGTCTGAGCTGGAAGAAGGCACAAACCTGGCTGGTTTGCAGCAGGCTGCAGCAGCACTGCCTGTGAGGAAGGCAGTCTCAGGGCTGCAGATGTCACTTGCTTGGTAGAGTGCCAACCTAGCCTTCAGGTGGCCTTGAATTCCACCCCAGCCCTGTAAAAACCAGGCTTGGTGGTAAGCACCTGTGATCCCAGCACTCAAGAGATAAGAGGCAGGAGATCAGAAGTTCAAGGTCACCCTTGGCTACATAGTAGTTTGAAGCTAACCCGAACTGTCTCTGCTCCCACCCCCACAGGAACCAGGGTCTCCACTACAGGGCTCAAACACTGTTTCTCAGATTCATCATTTGTCTTTGTGTTATGCCTGGGTAAATTTTCAAAGGATTGGCCAATATTACAGAGAGCCTAAATTTGTGAGTAGCATCTTTGACAAGCTCTGGAGTTTCTGGTCCAGACGCTGCAACTTAGACAATAATTGCCAGGGAATTCTTTTCCTGGTCATTTTGTGTCCCTAGCCCCAACTCTCCTTAGTGGTCTGTGTGACAGGTCGAGTTCCAGGGGAAGTTATATCGATCGTATTTCCCATTGCTGTGACAAAACGCCTCGAAAAAGCAAACAAGGCAAGAGCTTCAGGTGTTCATGTCACAGCTGAAGTCTGAAAGCAGGGAGAGACGGACAATGCTGGAGCACAGCCGGCTTCGTCCTTAGTGTAGGACACTAGCCTGTAGGATGGGAGCATCTTCCATATTTAGGGCACATCCCCTCACCTCGATTAACCGAGTCTAGAAACTCCCTCACAGACATGCCACAGAGGTTTGTCTTACAGGTGAGTCTAAGTCCCACTGAGTCAGCAGTATCAGCCATCACAGGAGTAGGCCCCCAGAGAGCTGGCAAGACGCTCCTTGGGTGTGTCTCGGGAACATCACCTGCCACACAGAGAAATGACTGGGTGATGTAACTGAGTGGTATCAGCCTGTCCTGAGGAGTTCTGGAGCACAGGAGGGGGCTTATGTGTCCCCAGCCTGATTGTTTGGTAGATACAGGCTTTCCCTGGAGGGTTGTGAATGGAGGAAAAGCGGGTCAGAGAACCGGCTACTCTTCCAGAGGACCGGGATCTGATTCCCAGAGTCCACTTGGTGTCTCACAACCGTCTGTAACTCCAATCCCAGATCTGACGCACTCTTCTGGCCTCTGTGAATCAAACATGGCATATATGCTGGAAAAACACATATACACATGAAATGAAATTAAAATAAGAAAAGAGAATGGGGGCTGGAGAGATGGCTCAGCGGTTAAGAGCACTGGCTGTTCTTCCAGCAGTCCTGAGTTCTATTCCCAGCAACCATATGGTGGCTCACAACCACCTGTAATGAGATCTGGTGCCATCTTCCGGTATGCAGGCAAACATGCAGGCAGAACACTGTAGACATAATAAATAAATAAATCTTTAAAAAAAAGAAAGAAAGAAAAGAGAATGACCTTGAACTTCTGATCTCTGTGCCCCACCTCCCAAATGCTCAGTAACAGGCATGTGCCGCCCCCACCCCGTGTCTGCCGTGCAGGGGAAACGCTTGACCAACTGGATCCCAGCTCTGATTTGGGCTTTTAGGTGTCTGTTTGTTTATTGTTTTTTTTGTTGTTGTTGTTTTTGTTTTTGTGACTGGGTTTCTCAGTGTAGCCCTGGCTGTCCTGAAACTTGCTCTGTAGACCAGGGTGGCCTCAAATTGGGAGATCTACCTGCCTCTGCCTCCCAAGTGCTGAGATTAAAGGTGTGCACCTCCTGGCTATTTAATGTGTCTTTCATTTCTCCTCACCCTAACCTGAGCCCCTGAGCAAGGCCTTCAGTAGTGACCAGTGACTTTTCTGTCTCCCAGGTGCCAACATTCCCTATGCAGCACAGCCCACCAGCTATGACTACGACGCCCCGCTGAGTGAGGCAGGGGACCTGACTGAGAAGTATTTTGCTCTTCGAAATGTCATCCAGAAGGTGGGTGCTTCAAACTCTTGGCAAGCTGGACTGCTGGGGAGCCTGCCATGAGCTCCTTATGGCTCTGTAGATGATTTCCTGCTGGAACCTTATTGACAGTGGATGAGGGAGGCATGGTTTGGGGTGTAGCCGCTCCTGATGAAGACTCCGTGGGTTTATCAGCTTATCAGGTTATAGGCTCTGTACCCTTCATCTGTTAAGAGTGGAGTTAGGTACCTTGTCACGCTGTAGGGAGAGCAAAGGACCTGTATAAGCCATCAAGGATGCGGCATAGTCTGTCCAGCAAGTAGAAGCCAGAAAATGTGTCCTTGTGGCAGGTCCCGGGGGTGGGGGGGGGGGGGGGGGGGGAGGGGGATAGGCACCAGTGTGCAGAGCAGCTGTGAGCTATGCTGAGAGAGATGCTGTGTTCTATCTGGGGCAGGTGGCTTCCTCTAGCTGGCTCTGGAAGCTCTTGGTCCTGCCAGCAGCCAGCCTTTGAAGCACCTAAAGTCCTCAGGTGGGGTTTCCTGTCTGTGCGGTGAGTTTAAAGAAAAAAAAACAAAACCCACAGTTTTTCTGCTCAGTCACCTGAGTTTTGAAGTTTAAAACAACATAGGTTTTCTGTCTATAAGTGGTAGATAGTTAAGTGTCGTGTAATGTCAATTTTAAGTATGTGTTATGATTTGTGATAGGAAGTATTTTCTTTTGTTTTTTGGTTTTTTTTGTGTGTGAATATGTTTTGAGACAGGGTCTCTCTATATGGATGAGGCTGGCACTTTGAGTTTACAGAGATCCAGCCTCTGCCTCCTAAGAGCTGGGATTAAAGGTGTGCACCACCACAGCTGGCATGTTATGGAAAAAGCTTGATATAAACGGGGGTGTTGCACACCTGTAATCTGGGGATGCAGCAAGAGGATCAGGAGTTAAATCATTCTCAGTTATATAGTTCAAAGCCAACCTGGGCTGCATAAGACCCTGGAGAGAGAGAGAGAGAGAGAGAGAGAGAGAGAGAGAGAGAGAGAGAGAGAGAGAGAGGGGGGAATATTTCTTTACCTTTTGAAAATTTTATTTATTTTTTTAAGATTTGGTGTGTGTGTGTGTGGTGTACATGTGTGTGGGTCCACTTGGAAGGTGGAGGCAGGAGGATCAGGAGTTCAAGGCCATCCTTGGCTACATTGAGAATTTGCTACATGGAATCGTGTTTTAATTAATTACTTAATTCAGACCACAACGGCTTCAGATAATGTTTTTATCCATACGTCTCCTTCCTTCACAGATTAAGCAGGTATGTGTTTAATTTGTGCCAGCTGGTTTTAGCTTCTTGGTGCATACAGGCCTCCTGCAAAAGGTAAAATCTGAAGCAAGACTTGCAGGCAGAGATGAGAGGTCAGTGTGTTGATGGCCAGGGCTGGAACGTTGTCAGAACTCAGCCAGAGAGGGGAAGGTGCCCTGCTCTAGAATGCATTGGAAGGAGCCAGCCAGGGGAGTGCGGGGAGATGGGTGAAGCCGGGGTCAGGTATGGAACTGTCTCCTAGGCCAGACTGTGAGTGCTTTACTTAAAGAAGGGAGGCCAAATGGGAGAGCTGAGCAGAATTGCTGAAAGGTTGTGCAGGCTGCAGGAGTTGACCAGGAGGAGGACACAGTGAAAAGGGAAGACCAGTTAGGGACGGGTGGTAATTGCGGTGTGTGAGTGAGTACACACCATCAATCAGACTCAGACCACAGTGTGAGAGCCGCGTGCTGTGATTCACACCTATAACCTCAGCACTTGGGAAACTGAGGTACCAAGAATTTGAGGTCAACCCTGGGCTACACAGTGAGTTCAAGGCCAGCCTAAGATAGCCACAATGTGAAGTCCTGTCTCAAGGAGGGAAGGGAGGGGCTGGAGAGATGGTGCAGAGATTAAGAGCATTGACTCCTCTTCCAGAGGTCCTGAGTTCAAATCCCAGTAACCACATGGTGGCTGACAACCATCCGTTATGAGATCTGGTGTCAACTTCTGGCCTGCAGGCAAACATGCAGACGGAATACTATACATAGTAAATGAAATAAATCTAAAAAAAAAAAAAAAAAAAAAAAAAAAAAAGGGCCCGGCCAGGAAGGCAAGGGAGCAGGGAGGAAGGGGTGAGAAGTGAGAGAGAAGCTACTAGTGTTTTCTGAGGCAAGTTTGAGAGAAAAGGCAAGAATCAGATGCTCGGGCTGGCGACATGGTTCAGTGGGTGAGTGCTCATCACCAAGGCTAAGGACCTGAGTTCAAGTCCCAGGATCCACAAGGTAGAGAGAGAAAAGTAACCCTTGACCATTGTCCTCTGATCTCCTGAACACATGCAACCTGTGGCAGGGCATACACACAGACACACACACATAATTAAAAATATAATTATAAAATACCAACAACATGCCGGGCAGTGGCGGCGCACACCTTTAATCCCAGCACTCAGGAGGCAGAGGCAGGCGGATCTCTGAGTTTGAGGCCAGCCTGGTCTACAGAGCAAGTTCCAGGATAGGTTCCAAAGCCACAGAGAAACCTTGTTGTGAAAAACAAACAAAAACATAAACCACATAATACCAGAATCAAGAACCAAATGTCTCTTACTGTTTGGCCTGACAACTCCAAGGATGAAGCTGTCACTTGTGTGTGTGTGTGTGTGTGTGTGTGTGTGTGTGTGTGTGTGTGTGCGCGCGCGCGCTCGAACGTGTCTGCACATGCAAACACTGTGGTACTCCTGTGAAGATCAGACATATCCATGACAGTTGTCAGCAGAGGGTGTCTGCAGCCCACACAGCGGCTAAGAGGGCCATGTACAAGACCCACCCAGGAGGTCCCATGGATCTAACTTTCAGGCCAAGTAGGGCAGCCCTGGAGGGGAACCATCCTCACAGTGAATGTGACAGAGCCAGCAAGGTGCTCAGCAGGAAGGCACTCACTGCCACAAGCCTGACAAACAGAGTTCAACCTCCAGGCCCTACGTGGTAGGAGAGAACTGACTCCCACAAGTGGTCCTCTGACCTCGCATGTGCACACCCACATAATAGTTTTGTTATTTTGGGGTTTGTTTGTTTGTTGGCTTGTTTTGTTTTGGTTTTGGTTTTTGGTTTTTTGAGACAGGGTTTCTCTGTGGCTTTGGAGGCTGTCCTGGAACTAGCTCTTGTAGACCAGGCTGGTCTTGAACTCACAGAGATCCGCCTGCCTCTGCCTCCCGTGTGCTGGGATTAAAACTGTGCACCACCCCCGCCGGTGCCACCACCACTGCCCAGCCACATAATACTTTTTTAATGTAATAAATAAAATGTTTAAAGAAAACAAATGTGATAGATTCCAGTTTAACATGTGACCCCCTCGTTCCTTCCTTCTCTCTCCTCTCTCACCTCCTCACCTCTTTTTCTCTTGTTTCTCCCTTCTTTTGTGATATTTCAAGTCTAAAGGGCAGGAATGGCTTGTTCTATATCATCATCAGGTCTAGGAGACAGAGATGGCTTTTTTTTTTTTCATTCATCCACTGGTTACTTATTTATTCACTTACCTATTTATTGGTTTTTCAAGGCAGGTTTTCTCTGTGTAGCCCTAGCTGTTCTGGAACTCACTCTGTAGACCAGGCTGGCCTCAAACTCAGAGATCTGCCTGCCTCTGCCCACCCACCAAGTGCTAGAAATAAAGGTGTGTGCCATCACCTCCTGGCTCTGGAATGGCTTATTTTAAAAGGCAGTGGAACCTTCTGTTTGTTTCCCCCAGTGCTGGGGACCAACGCCCAGGGCCTTGTGCATGCTAGAGAAGTGATCTTCCATTGAGTAACGTCTCTGGCCCTTAGTCGTCTTTCTCACAGGATTTGTAGATATGTCTGCAGTAGGTAACTGATTTGTTAAAGTATTTGGAAATTTGCTTGCCGGAGGAAGGGAAATATCTCTGACAAGTGCCCCATGTAGACTGCCTGGCCCCTCCCTTCTCCAAAGACTTAGGGAGTGGAAAGTCTTTCCCAGTGAATCATTGTTAAGGGTACCCAAGTGGAGATGGACATGGCTCACTCTGCCTTGGATGGAGATGGACATGGCTCACTCTGCCTTGGATGGAG